AACTCTACACTGTTGTTTGTTACTGTGTTCACTACAACTCTACACTGTTGTTGTGTCATCTGTGTTTCACTACACTCTACACTGTTGTTGTGTTGCTGTGTTTCACTACAACTCTACACTGTTGTTTGTGTTACTGTTGTTCACTACAGCTCTACACTTGTTGTTGTGTTGCTGTGTTCACTACAACTCTACACTGTTGTTGTGTTACTGTGTTCACTACAACTCTACACTGTTGTTGTGTTACTGTGTTCACTACAGCTCTACACTGTTGTTGTGTTGCAGTGTTCACTACAGCTCTACACTGTTGTTGTGTTACTGTATTCACTACAACTCTACCTCTAGAACTTGACTGAGGACCCTCATCCTCAGAGAAGACAATAAACGTACCTCAGGGAAAACTCAAGGTTCTCCACGGAGCTGTTTGAATATTTTTTTTTCTACCACCCCTATATATTATATTCTATGTGAACATTTATTAATAGATAGAAAACATTTACAGAAAACACAAACATGAATACAATGGCACACTGTATTAAAGCTTATGAATTTCCTCCAGCTCCTTCGAAGCTGGATGAGAGCCCAGTATGCAGCATGCATTTCCTCTCTGGATGGCCACGCTGAGGCGCTGGAACATGAAAGTGGCTGCCCTTGGGCCCCTGGTGGTGTCGATGAGTCTGGAACCCAATTCTTTAAAGAAACGTGTGGCATTTTTTCCCCATGATCCCAAGGTCTCTGATCCCACTGGGACAAATTGATACTGTTGGCTTATGTCCCTGTACTTGATGATCTTGTACTCTTCCCTGTGGTCAGCAGCTCCTCCCTGTCGCCCGATACTGTGATGGATATAGGTGTCAGCCAGTGTCGACACACAGGTATAGTCCCATGCTAAGAGCTTGCCATTCTTCCAAGGATAGATGGTGATCTCGTCTGGGCGGTTTGCAGGGTTGTGGGTATTGTTGGCTGCTAGTGATCGGGGCTCCCTCTCAGCTGGGCATCCTGCTGTAGCAAGGGTTCTCTTTATGATGTCATTGACGTCATTGTGTCTTACATGCCAGCCCTTGGTTTTGGAGCAGTTGAGACCATGTAGACCGTATTGGTCGGCTTGCGCTTCGCCGCAAATACACGTATAATCTGTGTGAATTGGGGCAGCAAGGTGCAGAGCCACTGTAATATGGAGGGTCTTGGGGTCGAGGCGCGTTCCCATTTGGGAACTGTTTGGAGGAAGTCCCCGGAGTGAGATGTGCTCACAGCCTGGAGACGGATAGTCTCGCTATCTGATGTTGCAGCCCTGAGCATGTATATATTTATATATATAACAACGCTGCGCTAGCCAAGGATTCGAACCCATGTTGTACCGGCCTTCCTCATGATAAGCGAGAACCACATGACGCTTTACACCACAGGACCACCCAACCCTACAAAAATGGCGCAGCCAGCACACAGCTAGCTGTTGGGCCGCCATCCGAGGGCTTGCGGAGGTGTGGGAGCTTCTAAGCTAATTTCATTCTCATCTCTGTTTGGTGTACTAGCCTCACGAGTAGCATTTACATATTATTGTAACCACGAACGAGTGGTATTGATCAATAACAACACTGCGCTAGCCAAGGATTCGAACCCATGTTGTACTGTCCTGCCTCATGGTAAGCAAGAACCACATGACGATTGTAGGGTTGGGTGGTCCTGTGGTTTAATGCGTCATGTGGTTCTCGCTTACCATGAGGCAGGCCAGTACCGAATATGTAAAACTTGCGATCTTGGCTTAAATAGCAACACTCATCTTGCCATATTTACCTGGAGAGAGTTTCGGGGGTCAACGCCCCCGCGGCCCGGTCTGTGACCAGGACAAGCGAAAATTTGTGTATGCAATAATTTTGCAAAAATCATTCTGAACCTAACGAAAAAAATCTATTTCATTGTGTTTGTTTATTATTAAATTATTGTAAAAGTATCTAAAATATTTTTAGTTAGATTAGGCTAAAATAAATTGCGCTTGTTATAATAAGGTTAGGTAAGTTTTCTACGATCCTTTTGGTGCAAAATTATAAGTTTTTACATTAACATTAATGAAAATAATATATCTTTAAACGTGTAAGAGAAATTTTTAGAAAGGACTTAATCTTAAATGAGTTCTTGCTAATTGACCAGTTTTACCTATTAGGCACGACATAATATATATTATATATATAATTATATATATTATATATATATTATATATATATATATATATATAAAATACTGATCTCTGGCTGAAGGAGACTCGAACCTACGAACCTTGGAACAAGGTACGCAGTGCTTTACCAATCTACCCACACTGGACAATACCTTGGAGTCCAGCTTGCGCTAGACTTTGATCCAAGGCAGCCAGCTTTCAGGGAGAAGGCTTACAGCTTTTCATCTCATCCTCTGCATGCATCAGCCTTACTAGAGAGATTAACAATGCAAGGAATTCGCGAGAGCAGGCGAAATATACACAAACACTGATCTCTGGCTGAAGGAGACTCGTGTATATTTCGCCTGCTCTTGCAAATTCCTTGCATTGTTAATATCTCTAGTAAGGCTGATGCATGCAGGGGATGAGATGAAAAGCTGTAAGCCTTCTCCCTGAAAGCTGGCTGCCTTGGATCAAAGTCTAGGGCAAGCTGGACTCCAAGGTATTGTCCAGTGTGGTGAGTTTGGTATAGCACTGCGTACCTTGTTCCAAGGTTCGAGTCTCCTTCAGCCAGAGATCAGTGTTTGTGTATATTTCGCCTGCTCTCGGGAATTCCTTGCATATATATATATATATATATATATATATATATATATATATATATATATATATATATATATATATATATATATATATATATATATATATATATATATATATATATATATATATATACAAAAAAGCAGAGTTCACACAATAATAAATAGCAGCGGGTGTCGAGGTGAATGTCTGGTTTTTAAAGCAGACTGTCCACAACTTCCTGGGAAACAGGCACTCTTCCGAATATGAAAAAAAAAAAATGATCCAAGACCTGATTTCAAGTTTCCAACAACTTGGTTCTGGAATGAGTGTGAAGATGCACTTTTTGCACTCATATCTTGACTATTTTCCCGACAATTGTGGGGACTACAGTGAGGAACAAGGAGAGAGGTTCCATCAGGATATTTGCACCAAGGTGGACAAAGACAGGATGTTCCAGAGATTGGACACAGTAACAAGGGGACACAGTTGGAAGCTGAAGACACAGACGAATCACATGGATGTTAGGAAGTATTTCTTCAGCCACAGAGTAGTCAGTAAGTGGAATAGTTTGGGAAGCAATGTAGTGGAGGCAGAATTCATACATAGCTTTAAGCAGAGGTATGATAAAGCTCACGGCTCAGGGAGAGTGACCTAGTAGCGATCATTGAAGAGGCGGGGCCAGGAGCTCGAACTCGACCCCTGCAACCTCAACTAGGTGAGTACAACTAGGTGAGTACCATGGAAACTCAATACGAGAGCAAATGGGATGTCATCACGATGGCGTATAATTGCTGGTCATTGAAACTTAATGGTCTCGATGCACAGCACAGGTGAAAGTCAAAAGAGTTCTCCTTCCTTCGATTCAATATGTAGGCTAACCATTAGCAGCATATTTTTTTTAATAAAATCATTTCATTTGATTCATGCTGATTTGGAATTCATACTGTCTAAAAACTGACAGAATGTGATTTTGAAGGACTACTTGCCTAATTTTAATAAAGTAACAATTTATTAAAAATTCGTTTTTTTATTATCATTAATTTGTATATTATTCAAAAATCTTAAATAATAGAGTAAAATGGTTTAGATATTTACAATCAGCAGCCCAAGAATATGTCAGATGGCAACAACATTCTTAATAAAGACGAAAACTGACTTAACACCAAACAACATAATTAGTATCTTTACTGACTAAATAAAAAATATTGTGAGTGGCTTAAATATATATTGAATTAGCAGAACAGAAAGCTGTTGAAGAGAAGGAAGTTGGAAATGTTTTAGAGTTCTGGGAATTATAATTCTTCAATAAAGATTGGCCATTTCTAAACCCATGTTAGTTGCCTTGTATTCATGTCTTGGAAAGTGCCCACTGTTTTCTTTCTTATACTTTTCTAGAACCTTAGCCAGTATGCTAATCAGAACAGCTGGTCTTTGATTTACAGCTTCCTGCCTATTTCCTGTCTTCCACTGGAGTCACTGTGTTCACAGTTCTCTAGCACTCTGAAGGATCACACAGTTCTCTAGCACTCTGAAGGATCACACAGTTCTCTAGCACTCTGAAGGATCACACAGTTCTCTAGCACTCTGAAGGATCACACAGTTCTCTAGCACTCTGAAGGATCACACAGTTCTCTAGCACTCTGAAGGATCACACAGTTCTCTAGCACTCTGAAGGATCACACAGTTCTCTAGCACTCTGAAGGATCACACAGTTCACTAGCACTCTGAAGGATCACAGTTCTTCCTGTTCTGTTTCACATTATCTATGGTTATATCCTGTCTGGTTTAATTGTTGTTCCCTTATATAACTTCCTTAGTAACTCTCTCATTTCCATTTGTATAATACTTAAATTTTCATTCTTTGAAGCTCATCATTTTTTTTATTCTCCTCGTAGTATCTCCTGGATATTTTAGTGGAGATTTTTGTAACGACTGTCGTATTTTGTACATCGTGAACATGTCACCCCTGGTGCTTCTGCCCCTTTTCTCCCTCCCATCTTCTACCCCCCTCTTTCTTTTTCTTTTTATAAAATATATACTAAATTTCACATTTACTTTTAACTTCTTTAATTGAATTTTCCTGAGCCTAGTTTCCAATCCCCTTCCCAGTCTACGAAGAAGAAATTTTAAGACAAATTTAATGCTTCAAGATTTAGAGCAAAATGTTAATGACTAATTTTGTAGTTCCATGCAAATCATTTCAAAACTTCTATGGTACAATGTGCACAGCAAGTGCTATTGTTTCATCTATATTCATGAAAAACAGAAATTAGCATCAGACATATTATATTATTACCATAATCAACAATGCTATAACTCATCTCAAAATGGTAAACACGAAACATTTCTATATCATTAAAATGGAATGTGGAATGGATACTCTGGGTGTCTGTCGATCCTGTAAGAAAGAGAAAGTAATTAAATAAAATCATTGTACAAAATATAAAAATCTTAAGCTGATGCATTAACTACACAGCAATGTTCAAACATTATTGCTGATCAGGTATTACCTACCACATGTTATGAGTATGTAACCTTTTATTCAACATATGCCACATTCTCATATACACTGCCTCTCATCCAGCGAACCAGGTGCTAAGGATTTAACAATCAATAGGGACCCTATTGTTTTATCGGTACCTCGGTACATCGACCAGTCACAGACAAGCCCACCAAAGGTGTAAAGCAATGTGGCTCACTTGTGACACGTGAACTGGCAGACTCATCTGGGGCTACTGGTCCTACATGGTACATTCTTTGGCTCTTGCATTGTGGCTCCTTGGTTCACCGGGAATCAATACTGATATGTGGGTGTGAATCATTGGGTTTAAACATTACAACAAGGGGGAGGCTGCAGGCAGTGGAGACGACATGTTGAGAATAATGTGTGGTGTGAATTCTGAGCTTAGAGATAAGCAGTAGCAGAGATGGGTTGTTGAAGTGATTTGGGAATTTAGATAGGATGGAAACAAACAGTATGACCAGGATGGTGTTTAAATATAGGGAAGATGGAAGGAGGATGAGGTATCTTCCCAGAAAAGGTTGGAGGGAGGGATTAAAGGAAGTTAAGAATGCTCAGAGTCTGAACATCCAACAGGTTTGTGTGAGTAAATTAGATGAGAGTGAAAGAAATCAAGCTTTTTTTATGACTTGATGTGCTGTTGGTGTTCGTCAAGAAAACATTAAAGAAGGAATTCAAGGAAACTTGTTATCTGGATTTGAGTCCTAGAGGTGGAAATTACAGTGCCTGCACTCTGATGGAAGAGTTGGGATGTTGCAGTTCCAAGAAGCAACTTAAATGTGATAGCAGAATACTTCTGGCTAGATAGTGACTGAATGAGCAACAGTGAATATTCCCTTCCTGGGGTGGGAGACGGTCTGGAGTTTACCTGGAGAGAGTTCCGGGGGTCAACGCCCCCGCGGCCCGGTCTGTGACCAGGCCTCCTGGTGGATCAGAGCCTGATCAACCAGGCTGTTGCTGCTGGCTGCACGCAAACCAACGTACGAGCCACAGCCCGGCTGATCAGGAACTGACTTTAGGTGCTTGTCCAGTGCCAGCTTGAAGACTGCCAGGGGTCTGTTGGTAATTCCCCTTATGTGTGCTGGGAGGCAGTTGAACAGTCTCGGGCCCCTGACACTTATTGTATGGTCTCTTAACGTGCTAGTGACACCCCTGCTTTTCATTGGGGGATGGTGCATCGTCTGCCAAGTCTTTTGCTTTCGTAGTGAGTGATTTTCGTGTGCAAGTTGGGTACTAGTCCCTCTAGGATTTTCCAGGTGTATATAATCATGTATCTCTCCCTCCTGCGTTCCAGGGAATACAGGTTTAGGAACCTCAAGCGCTCCCAGTAATTGAGGTGTTTTATCTCCATTATGCGCGCCGTGAATGTTCTCAGTACATTTTCTAGGTCGGCAATTTCACCTGCCTTGAAAGGTGCTGTTAGTGTGCAGCAATATTCCAGTCTAGATAGAACAAGTGACCTGAAGAGTGTCATCATGGGCTTGGCCTCCCTAGTTTTGAAGGTTCTCACTATCCATCCTGTCATTTTTCTAGCAGATGCGATTGATACAATGTTATGGTTCTTGAAGGTGAGATCCTCCGACATGGTCACTCCCAGGTCTTTGACGTTGGTGTTTCGCTCTATTTTGTGGCCAGAATTTGTTTTGTACTCTGATGAAGATTTAATTTCCTCGTGTTTACCATATCTGAGTAATTGAAATTTCTCATCCTTGAACTTCATATTGTTTTCTGCAGCCCACTGAAAGATTTGGTTGATGTCCGCCTGGAGCCTTGCAGTGTCTGCAATGGAGGACACTGTCATGCAGATTCGGGTGTCATCTGCAAAGGAAAACACGGTGCTGTGGCTGACATCCTTGTCTATGTCGGATATGAGGATGAGGAACAAGATGGGAGCGAGTACTGTGCCTTGTGGAACAGAGCTTTTCACCGTAGCTGCCTCGGACTTTACTCTGTTGACGACTACTCTCTGTGTTCTGTTAGTGAGGAAATTATAGATCCATCGACCGACTTTTCCTGTTATTCCTTTAGCACGCATTTTGTGCGCTATTACGCCATGGTCACACTTGTCGAACGCTTTTGCAAAGTCTGTATATATTACATCTGCATTCTTTTTGTCTTCTAGTGCATCTAGGACCTTGTCGTAGTGATCCAATAGTTGAGACAGACAGGAGCGACCTGTTCTAAACCCATGTTGCCCTGGGTTGTGTAACTGATGGGTTTCTAGATGGGTGGTGATCTTGCTTCTTAGGACCCTTTCAAAGCTTTTTATGATATGGGATGTTAGTGCTATCGGTCTGTAGTTCTTTGCTGTTGCTTTACTGCCCCCTGTGTGGAGTGGGGCTATGTCTGTTGTTTTTAGTAAATATTATGCATTGTAAACCCATCTCTTCTGGTATTCATTTTTAACAATAAATTATTGACTGATTATTAAAAACGACAAATTTTAAGTAATTAACTTGTTACTAAATAATTCTTGCTTTATGGAGACATGACAGATTTATTATGAGTGTTTATTACAAAGTTCGTTCTGTTGACTTTACTATACAATGACTGAGTACAATAGAGATAGCGTGTCCCATTAAACTAACAATCTGTATTTGTTGCCACATCAAATTAACATCAATGGATATAATATACACCAACTCTAAAATATCATACATAAATTTACCACTTTATTACTGTTATTATATTATAATCATGGAGAAGCACTTAATACAGAGGGGTCATACATTGCCTGAAGAATTGTATTTAATATAGTTTGATCCAAGGAAGTGGAGAATAAATTAGTTTCCTTGGATCAAAAGCCCTCCACTAACAACAGGGGTTGCCCATCGAGTTTAAATTGGGAAGTGAAAATTCAAGTATAAGGCAACAAACTATAAACAGAAATAATCAGCAAAAATCTTATTTTCTGATATATTTTTTAATAAATTATAATAATATTTTACTTACAATCTTCCTGTATTAATCGACTTTCAAAAACCTTAATAAACCAAATTAACAATAGTTTACCTGGGAAATACAAGGAAGTCAGAAATCCTGCCGTCACCACCTCGGTCAATACTGTCCATCAACGTCATCTCTTCTTCGCTCAATTCAAACTCCAGAATCTATAAGAATATTTTTTAATAAAAGATAATCAGTACCACATATCTTAATAATAAAACTAAACTTGTCTTTACAATTACTTCTACTAAACTTATGTGAACATTGTTAGGCGGAACTAACATTAAATAACATTGGTTAGGTTGCTATATATACTAAATATGATTTTGAATAAATTTAACAAACCTTTAGGTAGATAAGTGATATGCTGAAAGTAGGTCTAAGGCCTCTGTGAATGTTATGTTATATCGCTATCAGTTATGAATTTCGTGAATCTAAGCCACAAAAATTCGAATTAAAAAAAAAATGGCCTGGTACTCATTTGGCAATAGAGTTGTAGATGAGTGGAATCACTGAGCATGGATCAGTATGTGTACTGCAGTGTCTCTCAGTTTTTATGCACTACTTCCAGAAGGTCTACTTTGGTGCGCCTTTTATTGTGTGGATGGCCCGATGGCCTGGTGGCTAAAGTTCTCGCTTCACACACGGAGGGCCCGGGTTCGATTCCCGGGGGGGGGGGTGAAAACATCTCGACACGTTTCCTGTTCACCTAACAGCAAGTAGGTACCTGGGTGTTAGTCGACTGGTGTGGGTCGCATCCTGGGGACAAGATTGAGGACCACAATGGAAATAAGTTAGACAGTCCCCGATGACGCACTGACTTTGGCTAACCCTCCGGGGTTAAAAATTCGAACGAAATCTCATCTTGCACTGTTATAGAAATGAATATTAAGTAATCTACATGCATTATGGGAGCTGTTTGGTTAAAAAAAAAAGAAGATATTTCTCATATTTCACAACCACGAAAATTAGCAGACGCTGTTCACTGTAGATAAGTGCAAAGTTCTCATCTTCGGGATTATATATAATCCTGGAACTTATAAAATAAATAACACAGATTTAGATTTAACAATATATGAAAAGGACTTTGGGGTCATGATAAGGCTAACAGATTTCCTGGATTTATATAAAGTGTATAAGCAACAGATGATCAGCTCCATACATCTTTCCTCTTCAAAAAAAAAAAAAAGGGGGGGGGAGCTCCTTGGCGCGATGAAGAGGTTATTAGTCTCTCTCTCTCTCTCTCTCTCTCTCTCTCTCTAGTCTGAGAAATTAGACCATTTGGTCTTCATCAGGCCGAACCTAATTACCACCTAATCCCCCATTCCCTTTCCTCCTCCTCTCCACATTCCTCCACTTTCCCTTTCCTGTTTCTGCCTTTGAGGTTGTTCCCTTAGGCTTTGTAGTTCATAGACCTGAGAAGGGACTCAGGGGTCTATCACCTTCCGCTGAGGTCCTTGATAGTAGTATAATTTGCTGTAGAATTTGGATCATCTAGAAATCCCGATCCCCCTCCAGTCTACCGGGGGTAGGGGGTTGGGGGGATGCTTCTGGTGTCTGGTGTATCTCTGGAAGCTGCCTGTCAGATTCCAGGAGGTGGTGGCCGAAGGAGGTATGCTTTGTAGTGGGTTTCTGACCGTCCTTCCTTTTGTCCGCCGAGGTGGCTCGGTAGATGTGAAGTTGCTATCCCAGACTGCTGGTTTACTGGCTGGAAGGGTAGGGTATATACGGCAAGCGTTCCATGCCGCATCTGCACTACTGGCTGTGCTTATGTTGTCCTCTTGGGCGCTACCCCTCCACGCTCCCCCACTTTTTTTCTTTCTTTAAAAAAAACAAAAGAAAAGAAAAGAGAGACCCAACCATGGAGTCCCAAAACCGTGTACTTCTTCCTCCTGGGCCCCTTCCTGTTGCAGTACCCTCTGACGACCCTGCCTTGTTACCAGACCATTCTTCAGATCTTTCTACAGTCCCTGTATCTTCCACAGGTGATATTTTGTCCCACGCTCTGAATACAGAGGCTCGACCTGACTCCTTTGACACCTCCGACCTCTGCACGTATCTGACTATGCTCCCGGCCTCTCCCTATGCAGTGCAACGGTTTTCAAATCGCGTGCACGCCTCAAAATGGACCAGTCCTATATCTAAACGACCATGACCTTCTTCTGATGGCACTGTTTTGACTTCCTCTCATTCTACTCAGAAAAGACCAACACGACAATCACTTCCTTTACAGACTATGCATCATAATACACAATGAACGAAGATTTTCACTCTACAACCGACATCTTCAAAATACCTTTCTGATCATAGTATCAGCCAGGTGCTTATATGCTACCTTGGTCATAATATTCCGTTTCATGCTCTCAAGAGCACTGCACGCATCGTCACAGCACAGAATGCTATCCTAGCTCACTATCTTTCTCTCCTTACAACTATAGATGCCATTCTTGTAACAATTGAAAAACATCATTCTCTCAATTCTTATAGTGGTACTGTCATTCTACCACATACCATTGTGGAATGACATTCTGGAACAGCATGAGCTCCAAGACCTCCCGATCCTTAAAACAGACACGTATGTACTGCCTGCCCTCGGTTGGAGATGCTACCCCAGCAATGTAGCTCTCTTAACTTTTGACTTCCATAAGCTTCCATCATTGGTTTATATTGTGGGACACCATTTGCAAGTCCGACAGGTGACCCCTACACCTGGCAAAATATTGCAGGTTCATAGCTGAATTCCCAGTCTTTGGTGCCGATGACCATATCAATACATCTTGTGGTCTTCCTCCCTCCTGCCTTAATTGTCATGAAGCTTATTCATTTTATTCTCGTCGTTGCCAGGTTTACTTGAATGAACTTGAAATCCGTTGTCTCAAAGAGACTAAAGGCTTTACTTACGCCATGGCAATCTCTCATCTACGCCCCAGGGAAGACTTCCCCGTATTTCTTATTCTCGAGTTGCTAAGAGGCCCCCAACCTCTGGGGTTCCAATTCCCGTGGTCTCCCCTGTGGTCACTCCTTCCACAGTCACCTCTGTATCTAACTCTTTTGCAGTCCTGGGCTCCGAGGTTCCTGCCTCGTCACCTTCTACTGTTCTCCAATCTGCATCTCACATGCAAGCTTCTATGTCTACATGACCTTGCACATCAGCTCATCCCCCTCGCCTCTCTACTTCTTCAAAGTCCAACAAATCCCTAAAGGGCAAATCTCTTTCATTTCCAGCCTCAGTACCTGAATCTTTACCTCTTACTCGTTCTCTTGTGAGTGTGAAGGCCCATCCTTCCCCATATACAGTACCTTCTTTTCCTGTCCCCTCCTAAGTTTTTTCCCTCTCCTGTCCCCTCCCAGGCTTCTTCTCAAATTACCTCTAACCTCTCGTCGTCCCCTACCTTGGTAAATTCTGTAGTCGCCCCAATCTTTACTCACCCTCCTCCTCTTATTTCCAGTATCGTTCCACATACAATGTCCTTGTTCTCTGACGCTCTGGAAGCTATCCCCTACTATACTGAGGAGACTAAACCACTGATGGACACTGATTCACCTCTTGTTGCTAATCTTCACTCTTCTCTATCTACACAACTCCTTTCTCCTCAGTATTCCAACCCTTTGCACTTGTTCGTTTTCCACTGCCTCCACAAGTGGACTTTTCTAATCCTTCTAGTCCGTAGTTACCTCTTTCTCCATATTTCTTGTATCCTTCTCTTCTCGTAAATCATGGCTTATTTACAGTGGAATATCCGAGGCCTCAGAGGTAACTGGGGTGAGCTTCAGGTGTTGCTTTCCCAGTTTCCCCCTGTTTGTGTTTGTTTACAAGAACCCAAATTACGATTCGCTTTTATCCATCCCATCGTGAGCTATGTTTTATTATATTCATTGGATCCTTTTCCCGATGGTACCTTCAGTGACAGTCCATGTCTTATATGCACCGGTATCCCATACCACAAGCTTTGTTCATACTTCGTTGTATTACACTGCAGCATGCATCTAGTTGAATAAGTGGTATACAGTCTGTTCTTTGTATCTCTCCTTCTTGGGCGCTATCTAAGATGTTGCATTTCTGGTTTCTTCATTACCACCACCACTTCTGTTTCTCAACAGTTTTAATGCTCACCATTTCCTCTGGAGAGGGGGGGGGGTTCTCACAGTGACTCTCGTGGCATTCAGTTAGAGGCTCTTCTTACTTCTCTCCCTCTCATACTCAATCTCTCTCTTGCATCGATCTCTCACTTTGCTCTTTCTCAACTGTACTAGACTTTACCTGGTCTGTGCTCCCAGACTTACATGACAGTGATCATTTTCCAGTCCTTCTTACTTCTCATTCGTATTCTCCACTCCTTCATCGCCCACGCTGGCAATTTGACCAAGCGTATTGAGACCAGTACTCACCTCAAACTGCTTTTAGTGAGGTTCCTTCTTCATCCTCCGTTAATGAGCCATTACACCTATTCTCGACCTCACTTTTAACTACGGCTTCACATTCTATACCTCACACCTTGGGCAGGCACTCTCGGGTATCACACATGACACAAGTTGGTCATCACTATATGTTGATGACTTTGCTATGGCTTGTGCAGGCAATGACTGTCACCTCATTGCAGTTTCTCTCCAACATGTGGTCAACCGTGTTTCCAATTAGGCTACTGCTCATGGATTTAAATTTTCTAGTACTAAAACACACCAAATTACTTTCACTAGATGTTCTATCTTCTCTGAAAATCCATTGTACCTGTATGGGTCGTGTATCCCAGAACGTGATACTGACAGGTTTCTCAGCCTTCTGTTTGACCGTTGGTTATCCTGGAAACCTCACATTACCTCCTTAAGGGAACTTGTCATAGCCGGCTGAACCTTCTTAAAATTCTTGCTCATCGTTCATAGAGCGCTGATCGTAGAACTCTCCTTCGACTGCAGTCTGCCCTAATTTTATCGAAACTAGATTATGGCTACCAGATACATTCAGTGGCCTCTCCTGCAACTCTTTCTAGCCTTGATCCCTTCCATCACCAGGGATTACATTTATGCCTCAGTGCTTTTTGCTTTTCACCTGTTGAGAGCCTCTATGAAGAGGTGAATATTCCATCCTTGACCAATCGCCGTGATGCTCATTGCCTCCGCCATTTTGTTCACTCTCATGACCTCCACAATCCTCCCATACATAAGATGATAACGGATATTAGTAGAACTTCCTTATTTGTTCGTCTTCCCTGTTTACTCCGTCCTTTTTCTCTTTGTTTACAATCACTCTTGTCTTCTCTTCAGTTGCCACCTATGTTCATGTAGCATCTAACTTTTCCCTTCCCCCTTAAGAAGTTCCGACGATTCGTGTCTGTTTTTCCCCACTGCCATGCACGAAATCCCAAATACCTATGGATGCTTCTCGTTCTCATTCTCATGCCATCCAAGTCTTCTGATGGTGTCGGATTTGCAGCAGTGTTTCCAGACATCATCGTATGAGGGCATTTATTACCCTCGGCAAGCATTTTTACAGCTGTATTTTATGCAATTCTCGTAGCACTTATCCATATTGCATCTATGCCTGTGTCACCATTTGTGGCAGTTTCAGACTCCCTTAATGCTTTACAGGCTATAAGAAAATTTGATTCATCTCATCCCCTGATTCTTCATATCGAACTTTGGTTATGCCACATCTCTGGCAAGCACAAAGATATTGTTTCTCATTGGGTCTCCGGTCATGTTAACGTACAGGGCAACGAACAGGCAGACACTGCTGCATGGTCAGCAGTACATGACCTCCCAGTTTCATATAGAGGTGTTCCATTCACAGACTATTTTGTGATGATTTCTACCCATCTTCGCAACCTTTGGCATCAATATTGGTCTTATCTGCATCATAATAAACTGCATTCTATTAAACTAAGTATAATTTTCTGGCCGTCTTCTTGTCATCATTGTCGAGGCTGGGAGACTACACTATCCTGTCTTCACATCGGCCACACTTGTCTTACTCACGGGTATCTCATGGAGAGGCGCCCTCTTCCACTCTCTCTGAGAATTGTCAGGTTCCAGTTTCTGTTAGCCATATTCTGTTGGGTGTCCACTCTATCAACGAGCATGCAGAATTTACCACCAATTCTCTATTGCCCTTACTTTACCTTCCCTTCTTGCTGATGGATCCTCCTTTAACCCAGACTCTCTTGTTGACTTTGACAGCAACTGATTTACTGCACAAACTCTGATGATGATACCTCCAGCACTCCTCACAGCCCTTTCTACCTCACCCTCTTGCTACCCTTTACCCCTGCACTATCCCCTGTCATGCTACACTGCATGACCTAATAATAATCACTTTCCCTCTTGCTAACCAACACCCCTACACCATTTCCTGCCCTGTTGTGCTGTATGACTCTTGTAGGTTTAGCATTTCATTTTAATATAATAATAAAAATTCCATGGGGAAGTGGAACAGAATTCTTCCTCCTCCGTAAGCCATGCGTGTTGTAAGAGGCGACTAAAATGCCGGGAGCAAGGGGCTAGTAACCCCTTCTCCTGTATAAATTACTAAATTTGAAAAGAGAAGCCTTTTTTTCGGAGGGATACGGCCGGTTTGTTGGAAGAAAGAAAGAAAGAATAATTAAAATCCATACATCTTCAGTAAGTTCTCACTTACATTATGAAGTTCAGTTCCGGTCTTCATACAACATAATGGATACAAATGCATTGGATAAAATACAGAAAAAAATGATGAAAGTAATCCACTAAAAGACAGGATTGACGTATAAAAGTGGAAACTGGGAATAAATAAAGGAGAAATCTAATTCTTTGGATATCCAGTCAAGAAAGAACTCCAAATAATGTATTTGAATTACATAAGTTTAGATTCAGAAACGATGATGAAAGTTATTGGCTAGGAAATAAAGTTGTGAATGAGTCGAACAATCTGCCAAATATAGTTACTGAAGCTCAAATACAATAAGTTGGAATGATTGAAATGGAGAAGAACCCATCATGTAAGAGGCAGTAGGTCTACTTTGCAACTCCTATGGTGTCACTGACAAGCCATTACGTACCTCTGTAATCTGTAAATACCTTTGTAACTTGTCATGATTGTGACTAGACCTACCCGGAGTTCATTATCTTTGTAATTTGTGAGTTCATTACCTTTGTAAATTGTGAATTCATTACCTCTGTAACTTGCTCAGCTATCAAAACTTTGGAGTCCAGTCCCTGGACCAATTATGTACCTCTGTAATCTTTTGACTACCGCCCACAGGATGGGTATGGGGTGCATAATAAACATATTAAACTAACAAGCTGGGATAAAAGACACTTTTATACAGCCATGAGTGGCTTAACTGTCACTTGAGACGTAACGTTTCCTTTAATAAATCACCTGAACTGTACACAAGTGTTTTTTTCATAGTAAGCTGCTGCAGTGTTCCACCAGTCTTATGTTCTTAGGGTCTGTTACCTGAATATTTTGTACAATGTGCTCTGTATTGTCTGGCTTGGGAATAACAATAATTCCATGTTGAACCAAGTGGCGTAGAAGAACTTGTGCAGCACTCTTATTGTGGCTCTTGGCAATTTTCGTCACTACTGGATGCTCCAGAAGAGATGGATATTCACTGGTTCTGTAAGACAATTTACATGAAATTTTAAAAAGCAATAAGTATATTTTTTACCTTAAAAACTGACAAAAAAATCACATTGTATTCCGATATGCTTCATCTAATTAAATAACTCACTATATTTCAATACAATAATGATTTTAAAAGACATACATACACATTGTACCTACCCCAATTTTTTGTAGGGAGCTCCTAGAGGTGCAAAAGCACAAACAGGGATTCCTAACTTCTTACATACACCTCTCAATTTTTTCTGCATATGATATGCATGAACCTCCATTTGTAAGACAGCTGGTTGAATCCGTGCCACTGATGCAATTGAGAAAAACCTCATTCAGAAAAATTAGTAAATATCTACTGCATAATTTTTTCCATAATTTCCTTATTGTAGAACACATAAATGGATAATATAATAACTGCGTATTAAAATGTGAGGCTATTTGGACCCTTCAAGAAATTTTGAGTGATATTGGGGAGAGAGATGCCATACTGAATTTAATGTGTAAGCACTGGACTTAATTGTGCAATGTAATTCGGCATTTTCTCAGGTCAATTTGGGGTGTTTTGGCGTGAATTTGTAATAGGAACCTGTGTTAATGTTCCATGCTGAAGAATTGGTACAGAAAATTTGTAGAATCTCAAGAATTACATGTGGATGTCAGAAGATGGGATGCGAACATCACTCACAGGGAAGTACACCATTAGTCCTTGCATTTAGATATCAGCTGGCCAGTGTAGGGTCTAGGTGTTAAGCAGGTACTGTGGCGTGATCCATCTACAGTAATTAAATGGTAACTGTTAATATGAATATTTTGTGTACCCAGCAAGTAAACCAAAATAACATAGAGTCCACATAACTCTAATTACCAGAGTAGCTGGTTTTAATATTATAATTGTTAATTTAATGTCAGGTTTAGCTTTTTGTGAGAGTAGTGAAGAAGTGGGCAGTTGAAGGAGTATCAATTCAGCGACTTACTGTGATTTAAGTCCCACTTACCTCAACCAAATTATTTGTATGTAATAATTCAGGTAATGCCCTGTAAACCTCCTGCAGGTGATTTGCTCACATAATAATAATAATAATAAATAATAATAATAATAATAATAATAATAATATAATATATAAATAATAATAATAATAATTCACAATAACTATTGTGGCTAATAGTTATTGGGGTTATGTAGTTAAATGAATAAAGCATATAATTGAACACTATAATAAAACATTTTTTATGCTCAATCTTTCTTAAAAAGGTTGGGATACCCCAAAAAGCATTCTTGTCACTCTGTAAATATCTTTATTCTGGTGTGTTACACAATTCAAATGACTTTCAATTTGCATGACCCTCACTCCAGAATGGAAGGAAGCTGTGGATCAAGGGGAAAGAACAGATATTGGAAAAAAATGAAGCCCAGGAACTTCGGGGAAAATTTTCCACCCTTTCTCTGTGCGCCTGACGAATGTGAGTCTACATGGGAACAACATGACAAATTTACTAAAGGGGGGTGGGACATTGTGTTGTTGGGGACAGTCAGATTTGTACAGGAAAGGGCTTGTGCTTGGGGACGGAGTAAGAGACAGGGGGATTCTTTTTTGAGGCCGGGAAAAGGGTATTGTTACCCTCTTGACAACATACGATAATAATGGGATACATCCCATTACTCCCTCTGCGGGGAAAAGATGTCGAAAAGTATGGAAGTGGTTTTTGGGTAAAACAAATATAGGACAGCAATAGATAGGGAAGAAGGAGGTAACTTTTGTATGTGGCATTTTGCCTAAAAGGGGAATGAGGAAATGAAATCTTCCAGAGCAACGGGTAAGAATAATGCAGCACCATTCATCACAACCTGAAACCCCTTTATGGCAAAAATGGCTTGTAGCCGGGAATGGGGCCCTTTTATAAGGGCATGTATGGATCCATTATTCAGTGGGGGGTGATGTTATGGCTCTAAACTATAAACTATTAGAGGCAGGGGTTTTGGAAGGAAACAAATGCTTGTGGAAAGACCGTTTTAGGATCTCATTTTAAAACTTTAGGAATAACAATCACACCTAACTTGGGTAAAGATAACAGAAATTGTGGAAAAAGCAAAACTAAACGGGGAAAAAAGTGCAAAAAAAAATTTCTTAACGTTTTTTACAGTTTTAGTTAAAAGCCCCAAAAAAAAGAATTAATGATTATGTTGGGTAGTTTGTGGGGGAAAACAGGATGTTTGAAAAAACTGAACACATTAATTGAAGATTTCTTGATTTATTCCTTATAATATTCAAAATTTAAATTGTTCCTAATGATAAAAAACGAGAAAGGGGTGGAGTAGCATGAAAAATTAAAAATGGGGCAAAAAAAACGTGGATTGGACACAAAATATGTTTGGGTAGAATTTTGTAGGACAAGAAAAAAAATATTTGGGTTTCTAAAATCCGCCCTCTTAAAAAAGATAACGACAGAGGAAGACTTATTGGAACGAAATTGTAATAATAGAAAATGAAAATGTAGTATAAAAGGGAGTTTTTTAATTTTTTATTCAAATAATTATCTATTTTTAAAACCAGAAATTAGCCCATAGGCCCTGAACGTTCAAAACTGTTTTTTAGAAGCATTTGTTTACAAACCCTCCGGGGTAATAATCCTAAACCTTTTTGGAAAATAAGAAAACCCTGGTTAATAATTCGGGATGACTAAAGACTTGCGCAAATATAACTAATATATTGCCTTTAGCATTTCCTTGAATAGAAAATAAGGATGTAAGGTAAAAAACCCCCTATTCCCTTTTTGCCAATTATAATGGGAAGGAAAACTTGTCTAAATTTTTTTGAAAGGGGAAAATCTGTCTAATTTTTTTTTTGTGAATAGAGCTTACAAAAACAAAAGAAAGGGAAAATAGTTATTCTTAATAATGTAAACTGCACAAATTATTATATATTTTTATAAGAACTACCCAAATGGGTGAACAGAGGGAAAATTCTTAAAAAATCCACCCTTTATAATTGACTCAAATTTCAAACCAAATAAACAAATTTCCCAAAAAAAAATTCCAAAAAGTAGGCTACTTCGAAAATAGGACTATGTTTTCCCAGTCAGCCCTCCGCCCTATTTCACTCATTATTTTCCCCCATCTCACTTTGGGAAATTTTTGCATGGACTCAGCAACAATAAACCATCTCAGACCCCTAATTACCCAACAAAAGGCTGCAGTCAGAATGATAACAAATTCTCCCTCAGGGAGCACACTCCACCCAAAAATTTAAAAATCTAAACCACTCAAACCCTACAAAAAATCCATACTTTTTACTGCAAACCCATTACAAAACATAAACACTTAATCGATATTAACCCTCCCCTCAAACATCTCCTTTCCAACCCAACGAACACCCGACCATAACACAAGGGACAGATCCTCTTTGATTTCCCCGTTCCATCTCACACTATTAAAAAATTAATGCCCTAAAAAGGCCTAAAAACTGGAATTTATTACCTGTGAATATAAAAAAAACACTGTCTGTTTTTAAATCTTCTTTTTAAAAAAACCCCTTTCTCATCCCCAACTAAATAAAACTGAATAATTTACCCCTAAATTGTATCCATAAATGTTTTTATTTTTTATCTCATAAAAATTTTAACCTTTAGTCAATAAAACTTTGTTATTTTAATTACATTACCTAACTAATACTCCATTCTACGATTCCAGCAACACAGTAAATGACCCTATGACCGTCCTTGTTTAAAATCATTTGTGCTAAATTGTTATTGTTTTTTAAATAAAGTTTTTACCACTGAAATATCATTGCTTGTTAACTTAAGTTAAAATTTAAACCTGCCCTAATGCCTGCATACAAGGGACTTTGGCATGTTACACTGTAATAACTGTATTCCTTTGTACTTCACTGTAACATGTTCAAATTAATAAATAAATAAATAAATAAAGCATCTATTTGGAGACAAAAAAGAGGAATTTATAGGTGCATTCAATAAGGAAAAATTAAAAGAGGTAAAGAAGGGGAATTAGAAAGACTGATTGTGACTATGAAATTAAAGTAACTAGAGAATCAAAAACAGATACTAAAGAGTTCTCCCAAGTGTACAAGATGAAGATCAGGGAAAAACATAGTGTATATATATATATATATATATATATATATATATATATATATATATATATATATATAATATATATATATATATATATATATATATATATATATATATATATACATATATATATATATATATATATATATATATATATATATATATATATATATAATATATATATATATATATATATATATATATATATACATATATATATATATATATATATATATATATATATATATATATATATATATATATATATATATATATATACATATATATATATATATATATATATATATATATATATATAATATATATATATATATATATATATATATATATATATATATATATATATATATGTTCAGAGAACCTTCACGGTATGCATAACTGTGATGAACCACCTCAGTTGCTGGGAATGCTTGAAGTTCATAAACCTGTATTCCCTGGAATGCAGGAGAGAGAGATACATGATTATATACACCTGGAAAATCCTAGAGGGACTAGTACCAAACTTGCACACGAAAATCACTCCCTACGAAAGCAAATGACTCAGCAGACGATGCAACATCCCCCCAATGAAAAGCAGGGGTGTCACTAGCACGGTAAGGGACAACACAATAAGTGTCAGGGGCCCAAGACTGTTCCACTGCCTTCCAGCATACATCAGGGGGATTACCAATAGGCCCCTGGCTGTCTTCATGCAGGCGCTGGACAGACACCTAAAATCAGTACCTGACCAGCCAGCCGGGTTACGATTCGCACGTTAGATTACATGCGGACAGCAGTAACAGCCTGATTGATCAGGTTGCCATGCCAAGACATGGCGGGACGTGAGGCTGCCTAACTGTGGAATTTTGAAGGAAAAACTCCTGATCAAAGAGGCTGACCAGATCAAGACTGAACAGGACTCAGTAAGAATACTTTGGGAAGATTCCAGTGTAGCGAGAAAATGTCTCAGAGCAGCGTTTCAACGTAAATAGTGAAAGTGTTGTGCAGTTTTGTGAAGGTTGATGAGTGGTGGTAGTGGGGAAGAAAGCCATGGTGGGTAGTGCAGAACAAGGCCTGCATTGTGTGTTGGTGCCGGCCAAGATTATCGTATATACAAACCTTGAAAGGCCGTCATGAACACATCTACTTCCAGCATCAGGCGCCATGCTTCCAGTTATCATAGAAATGAATATGTGTCGATGCTTGGAATAATTAGAGGCATATGTTATGGAAAGTAATATGATGTTGGGAGTAACGAGGGAGGGAACAATCAGTGCCTCTTCCCCCACGCCAGAAGGGTGGGGTAAGAGGCAGGGTATGTAGGTGAAGGTGAGGGAACACACTGGATTTAAACAGTGCAAACACCCATATCTTTCATGATGTGCATAGGAAACAAATAATGTTGTATTTATTGTAAGCAAGACAGTGAGAATAATACACAGTGTGCATTCCGTGTGTAGTGTACAGTGACTGCCCCTATCCCATCTCCCCGGGCTTACCCCTCCTGCAGAAATTTATTCGGTCCTAAAGTTAGACACGACGGATATGTCGTACGAAGATCCCAACATGTCATGGATGGAACGGCTATGTTGGGTGGCCCTTACACCCACCCAAAACACACACACACACACCCAGGTTGGTGAAGGTGGTTGGAAGGTACATTTAATTGATTGAGGAAGAGGTAGGTAGTTTATACTGTTAGTACACTAATATTAGGACTATTGAGGCAACTGTAGATAATAATAATGTAGACCTAAGACCTTAACATGGGTAGTAATAGGCCGATAATGTAGGCAAACACTAGGTTATATTAGCCAGGGAGAACTGGCAGCCCAAGTTTGAATTCTGGGGCACGGGGTTTTGAGACCGCAGTGCCTCCTTCTAAGACCAGATACCGTCGGATCAACAAGTGCCGTGAACAGCAGGCGGCACCCCCCACGTGTCTTCACATACTAGACCTGGGGAAATCTGGTAGATGACCTCCTCCGTCAGGCCAATACAGTTAGACAAGACCTCCCTTTCTTTCTCAGTATTCTGGCCAGTTTCTGGGGGAAATTGCGAGTGAGTTGAGCTGTGGGCTTTGTGCAGGCAGGCGGCCTATGACCAGTACGTACCGGCGTCACTTCGTCAGGCTTAGAAGCTACTGTCTATTTCTGCATAGTTATACTAGGGGATACTCACTCCCTTGGAAACAGGAATTTCTGAGGTGCAGGCAGGTCACTAATACCAATTGAATATTGCAGGAATTAAGGCTCCCGGTTGCACGGGGTTCTGAGGGGAAGTCCAGAGGGGCGAAAGCTTAGGGAGGTTGAAGACCAGAATATATTCTCCAACACCAAGTAAGTTAGCCCTTTATTCGTGCATGCAGGCGAGATTTTCTTGCAACATCAGTCATTTATAGAAATCTGTCCTATAAGCCACTTGTGAGGCTGAGGTACCGACCTCATAGCTCGGTGTCAACAGAGCTTGCTAGGGTAAGCAACTCACATGGAGGCAGTCCAGACAAATTTTCACACCTCTCATCTACCTGTGCATTCCCCTTCCAACTCCCCGCTGCTCCCCCACCCCACTCCCAGCAATTATAATTGTCTTCCATATTTTTTCTTAAATGTGAAAGGTTGACTTTCTGAAACTTTATAGCAATGAAGTAGAGTTGATTTTACATGAGGCAAGTGTTTCCCTTACTGCTGTACTGACTGTTCACTTCTCCCAATACTTACTGCTGTACAGACTGACTGTTCACTTCTCCCAACACTTACTGCTGTACTGACTGTTGACTTCTCCCAACACTTACTGCTGTACTGAGTGACTGTTCACTTCTCCCAACACTTACTACTGTACTGACTGCTGACTTCTCCCAACACTTACTGCCTGGAGTACCTGGAGTTTACCTGGAGAGAGTTCCGGGGGTCAACGCCCCCGCGGCCCGGTCTGTGACCAGGCCTCCTGGTGGATCAGAGCCTCATCAACCAGGCTGTTGCTGCTGGCTGCACGCAAACCAACGTACGAGCCACAGCCCGGCTGGTCAGGAACCGACTTTAGGTGCTTGTCCAGTGCCAGGGGTCTGTTGGTAATCCCCCTTATGTATGCTGGGAGGCAGTTGAACAGTCTCGGGCCCCTGACACTTATTGTATGGTCTCTTAACGTGCTAGTGACACCCCTGCTTTTCATTGAGGGGATGTTGCATCGTCTGCCAAGTCTTTTGCTTTCGTTGTGAGTGATTTTCGTGTGCAAGTTCGGTACTAGTCCCTCTACGATTTTCCAGGTGTATATAATCATGTATCTCTCCCGCCTGTGTTCCAGAGAATACAAGTTTAGGAACCTCAAGCGCTCCCAGTAATTGAGGTGTTTTATCTCCGTTATGCACGCCGTGAAGGTTCTCTGTACATTTTCTAGGTCAGCAATTTCACCTGCCTTGAAAGGTGCTGTTAGTGTGCAGCAATATTCCAGCCTAGATAGAACAAGTGACCTGAAGAGTGTCATCATGGGCTTGGCCTCCCTAGTTTTGAAGGTTCTCATTATCCATCCTGTCATTTTTCTAGCAGATGTGATTGATACAATGTTATGGTCCTTGAAGGTGAGATCCTCCGACATGATCACTCCCAGGTCTTTGACGTTGGTGTTTCGCTCTATTTTGTGGCCAGAATTTGTTTTGTACTCTGTTGAAGATTTAATTTCCTCGTGTTTACCATATCTGAGTAATTGAAATTTCTCATCGTTGAACTTCATACTGTTTTCTGCAGCCCATTGAAAGATTTGGTTGATGTCCGCCTGGAGCCTTGCAATGTCTGCAATGGAAGACACTGTCATGCAGATTCGGGTGTCATCTGCTAAGGAAGACACGGTGCTGTGGCTGACATCCTTGTCTATGTCGGATATGAGGATGAGGAACAAGATGGGAGCGAGTACTGTGCCTTGTGGAACAGAGCTTTTCACCATAGCTGCCTCGGACTTTACTCTGTTGACGACTACTCTCTGTGTTCTGTTAGGAAATTATAGATCCATCGACCGACTTTTCCTGTTATTCCTTTAGCACGCATTTTGTGCGCTATTACGCCATGGTTACACTTGTCGAAGACTTTTGTAAAGTCTGTATATAATACATCTGCATTTTTTTTGTCTTCTAGTGCATTTAGGACCTTGTCGTAGTGATCCAATAGTTGAGACAGACAGGAGCGACCTGTTCTAAACCCATGTTGCCCTGGGTTGTGTAACTGATGGGTTTCTAGATGGGTGGTGATCTTGCTTCTTAGGACCCTTTCAAAGCTTTTTATGATATGGGATGTTAGTGCTATCGGTCTGTAGTTCTTTGCTGTTGCTTTACTGCCCCCTTTGTGGAGTGGGGCTGTCTGTTGTTTTTAGTAACTGTGGGACGACCCCCGTGTCCATGCTCCCTCTCCATAGGATGGAAAAGGCTCGTGATAGGGGCTTCTTGCAGTTCTTGATGAACACGGAGTTCCATGAGTCTGGTCCTGGGGCAGAGTGCATTGGCATGTCATTTATCGCCTGTTCAAAGTCATTTGGCGTCAGGATAACATCGGATAGGCTTGTGTTAACCAAATTCTGTGGCTCTCTCATAAAAAATTCATTTTGATCTTCGACTCTCAGTCTGGTTAGCGGCTTGCTAAAAACTGAGTCATATTGGGACTTGAGTAGCTCACTCATTTCCTTGCTGTCATCTGTGTAGGACCCATCTTGTTTAAGTAGGGGCCCAATACTGGACGTTGTTCTCGACTTTGATTTGGCATAGGAGAAGAAATACTGCTGTACTGACTGTTCACTTCTCCCAACACTTACTGCTGTACAGACTGACTGTTCACTTCTCCCAACACTTACTGCAGTACTGACTGTTGACTTCTCCCAACACTTACTGCTGTACTGACTGTTCACTTCTCCCAACACTTACTGCTGTACTGACTGTTGACTTCTCCCAACACTTACTGCTGTACTGACTGTTGACTTCTCCCAACACTTACTGCTGTACTGACTGTTGACTTCTCCCAACACTTACTGCTGTACTGACTGACTGTTCACTTCTCCCAACACTTACTGCTGTACTGACTGTTGACTTCTCCCAACACTTACTGCTCTACTGACTGACTGTTCACTTCTCCCAACACTTACTGCTCTACTGACTGACTGTTCACTTCTTCCAACACTTACCTTTAACAATTCTCTCAATTTGCTGACTGTTGAAGTTTGAAAGTCCAATTGCTTTAACCTTTCCGGCATCAACCTGTCAATGAATAAAAAAATATAAATAAAAAATAAATGATTAAAATTTTCTTAAAAACATCAAAGAATACTTTGAAAGTACGAAAAAAAGATATTGTTTTTGCCTGACATGAGAACATTGTTCAAAAACAGTTTGATAGCTTCTACAGTTTTAATGGGAATATTGCAAGTGATATAAATCATCCAAATATTTTTTTTCCTACATGTTCTCTATATTAATAATTATAAGTTATTTATTATTAAAGATTCTCCGGTATTCTCTCAGCCCGGGCCTTTTCCAAGTGGTGGCCCGACCTTGGCTCCCTGTCTTGGGAGTGTCTGAGACCCAAGTCTCCCATGGGAGGAGGCACAAGTACCTCCTCATCTTTGGGACCAACTGTCCCCAAACCTAGCCACAAGCTAGGCCTCTCTGGTCTGCCATTCCCGCCCCAAGGGGGCTAATAGGAATAACAGTCTTGTGAACTACAAGCTCTGGCTCAGGCACCTACTCTACCCTAGAAGGGCTGGGCATGGTGTCGATCAATAATTATAAGTTATTATTATTATTAAAGATTAGCCGGTATTTTCTCGGCCCGGGCCTTTTCCAAGTGGTGGCCCGGCCTTGGCTCCCTGTCTTGGGAGTGTCTGAGACCTAAGTTTCCCATGGGAGGAGGCACAAGTACCTCCTCATCTTTGGGACCAACTGTCCCCAGGCCTAGCCACAAGCTAGGCCTCTCTGGTCTGCCATTCCCGCCCCAAGGGGGCAAATGGGAATGACAGTCTTATGAGCTAAAGGCTCGGGCTCAGGCACATACCCTATCCTAGAAGGGTTAGGCATGGTATCGATCCAATTATAAGTTTTTTTTTTTTATTCGCCGGTATTCTCCCGGCCCGGGTCTTTTCCAAGTAGTGGTGACCCGGCCTTGGCTCCCTATCTGGGGAGTGTCTCGAGACTTAAGTCTCCCATGGGAGGAGGTACAGTACCTCCTCATCTTTGGGACCAAGTGTCCCCAGGCCTAGCCACATTCCCCGCCCTCACGGGGCTCGTAGGAGAAGCTAGGCCTCTGGTCTACCATCTGCCCCGCCTCAAAGGGGCTCGTGGGGATGGCAGTCTTGTGAGCTGCAGGTGGTAGCAAGCTCAGGCCTATTTTTAATTATAAGTTTTTTTTTTTTTATTCGCCGGTATTCTCCCGGCCCGGGTCTTTTCCAAGTAGTGGTGACCCGGCCTTGGCTCCCTATCTGGGGAGTATCTAGAGACCTAAGTCTCCCATGGGAGGAGGTACAAGTACCCCTCTCATCTTTGGGACCAAGTGTCCCTAGGCCTAGCCACATTCCCCGCCCTCACGGGGCTCGTAGGAGAAGCTAGGCCTCTGGTCTACCATCTGCCCCGCCTCAAAGGGGCTCGTGGGGATGGCAGTTTTGTGAGCTGCAGGTGGTAGCAAGCTCAAACCTTGAAAAAAATTATAAGTTTTTTTTTTTTTTTTCGCCGGTACTCTCCCGGCCCGGGTCTTTTCCAAGTAGTGGTGACCCGGCCTTGACTCCCTATCTGGGGAGTGTCTCGAGACTTAAGTCTCCCATGGGAGGAGGTACAAGTACCTCCTCATCTTTGGGACCAACTGTCCCCAGGCCTAGCCACATTCCCCGCCCTCACGGGGCTCGTAGGGAGAAGCTAGGCCTCTGGTCTGCCATCTACCCCGCCTCAAAGGGGCTCGTGGGGATAGCAGTCTTATGAGCTGCAGATGGTAGCAAGCTCAGGCCTCTAATTATAAGTTTCTCGACTCTGAACTTTCACTAATTTGGAGTTTATTTCCTCAAGGTTGTTATTCTTCTATGTAATAATATATTCAATTCCCTAACACCTCTTCTCCGGTCAATATTTTGCTTGATTTGTTCTTATTTTTTTTTTCTTCGGTAATTCCCTTTGTTCAGATATTAAACTTGTGCGATATAAAATTACATTAATACAATATGAAGCACTCTGGTACCTACGATGGCCTTCCTCTATGACAACGATTATTTTTTTTTATATACCGGGTACTTTATTTTCTGTAGCTCTTCCTCTCTACAATATACTGATGAAATTATCCACTTCATTTCTAGTTATGAAAATTACAAAAGAATTCAATAAACTGATGATCACTATAATGATTTATGTCATATTTTACAGTTTCAGTTATGGATCTGAGAGGAATAGACTTGGGTAAGAACTTGGCCGGTTCATCTGATTCGAGGGATAACTTAACTGGGAGTGATAATCTGTGGATAAGTTTTGCATCATAGGTCCACCTAAAGTTGGTGCATGTGGGGGGTGGGTGGGAATAATTTTCCTATGGATGAAATAGCTGAAATAAAGGGGAGGTTGAGGGTGTTGCAAAATGTAAGGTTTTAAGCTGTAAGGGTGCAGGCAGGGGTGGAAGAGGTGCTTTGGGGCGACAAGCCGTCAGCGTGTGTTTTGCGGCATCAAAAGCAAAGGCAGGCGGTGACAGCTATCCCATGTTTAGAGGTAACGGAGATGGTTGGGAATTATAGAGCAGGGCAGGAGATACGAACCACGAAGGGGATGTGTGCGTATGCGGAGGCTTGGAGATGACAATAAGCACTTTAGGTGCCCTTGGTGGGGCAGCTCGGAATCGCAGCCAACCGCACTTCACCCTGTACCCCTCATAATGGCCCCCCAGGACTACCAGGTGCCTCGGGTCTGAATACTGGCTCATGCCTGCCCTCAGACAATGGGGTTGAGCACCTCACCTGGGGAGCACGTCAACAGACCTCCATCACGTCGGCTGTCAATACCAGCCTAGCTGAGTCAGCTGACAGTCAGCCAAATAGCTCAGCTGACCGGGACTTCACGTCTCCAGATGTTCCAAGTCTTGCTCCTGTGGTATACAACCTGATGTACCGCATAAAAATACTGGAAACACAACAATTTCACCTGAAACAACAACTTGAACAACACATGGAAAGATGTGTAGAGTGTACCAATAACAAGATTGTCACAATTTGTGAAAGCAAGTGTAAGGCTGCTGAACAAGGTGGTGGTGGTGTTCTTAATCACAGTAATGACGAATATAATACTTGTGTTGATAACTGTAGTGAGCATCATAACGAAGGCTATGGTGTCAATGATGTTAGTAATAGTGATGACCGTAATATAAGTGGTGGTGAAGAGTGTGATGAGGGCAATGGTATCTATAATGTTAGTAATAGTGATGAGCATAATTTAAGTGGTGGTGAAGAGTGTGATGAGAGCGGTGGTGTCTATAATGTTAGTAATAGTGATGAGCATAATTTAAGTGGTGGTGAAGAGTGTGATGAGAGTGGTGGTGTCTATAATGTTACTAATAGTGATGAGCATAATTTAAGTGGTGGTGAAGAGTGTGATGAGAGTGGTGGTGTCTATAATGTTACTAATAGTGATGAGCATAATATAAGTGGTGGTGCAGAGTGTGATGAGGTTAGTCACATAGACATTAATGTTGAATACAATACTGTTGACAAATGTAATGAACACAATGTTGGTAGTGGCGCTGGTGATGACAGTTGTAGTGTTGCGTGTAATGTTAGTGGAGGAGGGAATGTGAGTGGTGGTGTCACCTATCATACATTCACACATAAACAGCGTCATGCTCTGGGTTTACGAAGACTCCCACGAGGCCTTACAACTGGAGGTGCACTTACAAAACTCATGGACAAGGGTAGCACTGTTGACATTGATAAGGTCTGCTATTTATATGAACAATTTTTTCATTATGCTGAGAAACTCAAGATGATCCCAGGACTACTATAATGGATCAAAACTCGTATAAACTTCTATATTAAGCTGGAATATTGCATCACTTAGAAAAAGACTTCCTGAACTTCATCATAAAGTAACCACTGAACCCATTGATGTTGTGTGTCTACAAGAGTGCAGAGTCCCTGAAAAATCCCAACCCCCTAAATTACCATCATTTGTTGCATATAACCTCAAATCTACTAACTCTTGTGCTCTATATATTAAAAAATCACTTCCCCATCAACTTCTTGCACATAAGAAAACAGAGGGGCTACAATATCACGGTGTTAGGATTATATAGGGAACTCTGCTCTCACATATTTAACTTGTATGCTCCTGCTGATAAAATTTAATTACTTGGAGCTCCCAACTTGTGCTCATTCTGAGCCTACTCTTTTTATTGGCGATTACAATGCGAGACACAAAAGCCTTGGGAA